TGTACATAATACCCTAATGTTTATATAATTGTGTGCAAGTATATTAAGCTTATTAGGATTCATGCTAATCCAATAGAAGTTAAAATGTAGATAGAACTACAATTTTGTGTTAAAATTTGGTTCCAGGTCCCTTTGACATAGCAATAATTTTTAAGTGAATTAAAAACAGCATCAACACATTCTTTTTACTTAGATAGCTCTTGGATGGATACGAATATTGTCCTTAAGTTTCCTTCAAGGAAAACATGAGAATTGTTAGTTTCGGAACAGATGATCGTGGGAAAATAAATGATTAACAAAGATGGGTCTTCATAGCAACTCAGTTGAGGGTTTTAATTCATAAAGTAGGCGTGACATTGTCTAGTATATAGTTCAGAGCTTTACATTTGGTCTGTTATTTGGAACATTTTCTTAGTTTTAGGTCTTAATGGTTATTGCAGGTTTTCTGCAGTTAATTGTGTGCAGGATTTCCATTACATTTGTATTCCTGCCTGGAACTGACAGACTTTCAAGATTTATTTTAATCCCACGATTTGAGTCATCTGTCTAAATGAACTTTCACTTTGTTTTTTCAAAGATATGCCACAGCAAAATTAGTGTATAAGGTGAAATAAAAGGGTTTTGTACTACACCTAAACTTAAAACTGTTAATGAAACTTAATGTTTGATCTATTAATGAAGTCAGTAGGAAAACAGTATGTCTATACAAGTCTGGACCAAAATTTTAGTGTCACAGATTTTTAGACATTTTATGGACTCTAGAAAAAAGACACTTGATTCCTCCCCTCCCACAATTTTTTGGTTCTCCTTTAAACATACTTTTAGTTAGTTCTAATTCCATATTTCTCCCTTTGCACTCAGTCCCATCTTAAAGCTGTTTCTGTTATCCTCATCAACTCGGTTATAATATTTTATCCTATCAGGTGCTTGCTCCTGTTTATATTGATGACCTTAATTCATTGTTTTCAGGCATTCTTAAGTAATAATTAGTGGCAACTAAGAAGAGTAAAACAGTTTGGAAATAGGTTATATTCTTTTAAGTCTTGCCTTTTCTTTTCACATTTACCTGAGTTTTTTGTTTCTGGTTTTTTTGTTTGTTTGTTTGTTTGTTTTAATATTCCAAAGGAGTAAGTATTGTCTCATTGATAATCTCCTGCTACCTGTTAAGGCAGAAGAATTTTATTGGAAATCTCAACGACATTTACTAGATTTGGGAATGAAAATGCTATTGAGTCATAGAATTTGCTAATATTAATTTTCATTTAATCTAGTACAGTGGAGGAAAGTCTTAGCAGTATTCTATTTTAAAAGAGTGATGTAGCCCGGCCTGTGTGCCTCACTGGTTGAACATCAACCCATGTACCAAGAGGTTCGATTCCCGGTCAGGGCACATGCCCAGGTTGTCGACCGAATCCCTAGTGGAGGGCATGCAGGAGGCAGCCAGTTAATGTGCTCTCTCATCGATGTTTCTATATCTCTCTTCTTTCCTCTGTCTCTAATATCAATAAAAAGAAAAAATATTAATAAATAAAAGAGTGATATGGTTTTTAGGATTTTGAAAAGGGATATACAACCATTTGTTGTGTAGATTATCATGAAGGTAACTACGTGACAATCTACTCTAAGTGATTTGCTGCAAATTCAGTCTGTTTTTCCTGATCAAGTATGAAACCTGCATGATTGAAACTCAAATGTGCAACTGATCATGTAAGTAAAGCTTTGACTTTCTTTGATGGACTGAAAATTGTGTTGGCAACACAATGCTAGATGTTAATGGGTATGGAATAAAATGTCACTTGCTAGTTTGATAAGAGATGGCTAGATTTAAGTAGTTTATGATTAAGCAGACATAGGTACTTTATTGATATATGGAAGGCCTTTATCCAACTAATGTGGAAGCAGCTTAAGTCAGGCAAATACCTAGGTTGAGCTTACAATGTGTGTTGTGGTATTAAATTGAATCGGGGGAAATTTCTTGAGGTACCACTGTCAAAACTGCTTATACTTCTGAACTGAGATAAATTGAGGATTAAGCTTGAGGTTTGCAGTTAGCTGTTTGCTACTAGTGTTGCTAGATCTTGGTCAAGTTAAATTGGACCACTCACTGCATAACTTATTCACATGTTATCAGTATGAGGGCACATTGAGGCTTAGATGACATAGTTGCTTCCTGTTAGATGTAAAAAGCAGTGCAGGCAATAGCATTTCAGAATTCTTTAGCTCTTTGACAGTATCAAGTGTTGGCAGAGATGTGGAGCAGCTGGAACTTTCATTTCTGGTGGAAATGCAAACTGGTATAAGTACTCTCTAAAATGTTTTGGCAGTTTCTTGCAAAGTAAAGCCATGTAGTTACTATATAATTAGGCCATCCAGTCCCACCCTTAGATATTTGCCCAAGAGAAATGAAAATTTATCCTTTGATAGACTTGTACCTGAATATTCATAATAGCCTTATTGATAATAGGCCCAAATTGGAACCAATCCAAATGTCCATTAAAAGGAGAATGGATAAGTTATGGTACATACACACACACTCTCTCTAGAATATAACTCATTAATAAAAAGGAAGGAATTCCTAATTTGTACAGTATCATGTATGAATTGTAAGCATTTTGCTGAGTGAAAAGTCATACACAAAAATCTATACTCTTTGTGATTCCATTTATATGACATTTTAGAAAAGGCAAAACTATATAGTGACAGATGAGTAGTGGTGGCAGTGATGAATAGGAGCACAAGAGAACTTTTATGGGGTGATAAAGTTCTTTATTATGATTGTGGTGGTTTTAAGACTGTATGTGTATGCACTTGTTAGAACTCCTCGAATTATACATTTAAATTATTGAATTTGTAAATTAAACCTTAAAAATTCCTTAACTTGTTTGATGTTTCCTTAAGATGGTATGGAGGTTTATAAAGCTAAAATTTTTAAAGTTTGACCATATCTTTTTATTTTTTTATCTTTACCCGAGGATTTTAGAGTGAGGAAGGGAGAGGGAGGAGAGAGAGAGAGAGAGAAACATCGATGGGTTGCATCCTGTAAGTGCCCTGAATGGGGACCGAATCCTCAGCCAGAGCAAGTTTGATCATATTTTAATCTTAGGCTAGATCTTTTATGAGACTATCAAATGAATAAGTTGTTTGTTATAGCTATTCTTTTGGTACATCATTTGGTTGATTTTGTGAAGCAAAAGGGAAGACTAAAGTAATCTAGGAACAGCTGTGTGGTCATCAAAGAATAAGTCATACAAAAGACGTCAAGGTCAGGTTACTCTGTCTAGTACATTTGCAATCTCTGGTTGTGAATAAACTTCAGGATGCTTTGAATGACACTTTTGATCATGATCATGATGATGTTAGCTTTCAAAAGAAACTGATACATGAATGAGACCAAACCATCATAACTTTAAAACATTTTACAATATTGCTACAGAACAAGTTCTTTTATTAAAAAACAAAGATACGTGAGCTTGTCCTGCCTGTTATAGGATATTGGACACCTCTGTGAATCTTAGGAAACTCATTTCTATCAAGGGGTTTAACAGTTCCAATAAACAGTCATTTTATTTCATGCTGGTAACTTTGTTTTTAAATTAAAAACTATTTCAAGTAAATGGATAAAGGTAGAAAATAACTTTAATGTAAACAAATGCTAACATTCTGAAAAATTAAGTATATCTAAAGCATCCTTCACACAACTACCCTACAAGTTAATTATTCCAAAGTGTGATTTTGTACTTACACTGCACATTCATGTATATGTTAACAGGTTTGTTTACACATAAAATTTATATGGATGGAATTTTCACTGAGTATATTTTTTGCCATTTGTTTTTTTACCCCCCTTTTCAGTAAAAATAATGACATGGCATAATCTAAAATGTTTAAGGAACTGATTGATGTCTGCTTAGTCTCTCTCTCAAAAGCCCTAAAAGCTCCTACTAGGGAAACAATATAAAGTAAGAAAAGAGAATTAAGCATATACCTAAGAAAAGTGCCAGTATGAAATATTTTTAAAAAGGATTGGTCTCATCTTACAAAATTTTTAGACTTCTGTTGAGTTTTTAGTTCATGTTTAAATTAATGCATCATTGTACAATTGGTTGTTAAAGTTGCACTCTGTTATATTTATGAATCATTGCCTCTTCGTTACCACTATAACTTAATGTTTGTTTAATTTTGCTTTGGATTGGGATTATTAATCTTGTGATGTACAGTAAGTCCTCAGTTCACATCATTGACATAAAATGAAACTAGTTTTACCATAGGCTAATTGATATAAACAAGGGTTAAATTCCTGTGTCATTTCATCAGTGTTATTTACCAAAAAAATAAAAATAAAAATCGACATTGAATGAAATGTTAAGGACCTGTTGTAGTTTCAAATGATAGCTTGTTAATTTAGGAGCTGTGGTGGTTGTGAGAAAGTCTGGAGGGGCATGGAAACCTCGGAGGGATTTTCTGGAGAGGCTAAATGATAACTGTTTTGAATTAGAAATTGTTCTAAAATGAATCATACTTGCCTAAGGGATATGCTTGATAAAATTTTACCTGTTTCCATGGTTGTATTGAAAAGTAATGTTGCCATGGTATAGTGGTTCTTACTGAGTACTTGTAATACACCAAGCACTTCACATGGATTTTTATCCCCAAGATTCAGAACAAAACTTTGCTGTTAATGCTCTAATTGTCATAGGTTCTCTTGAGCGTCATATTAATGGCTCTATTTAATGTATGGTATTTCTTGAATTCCCATTTATTCTGTCATTTTGCTGACCTGTCACTTCTCACTTTTAATTGTTTAATTTGGCTTTGGATTGGGATTATTAACTTCTTGGGATGTATAGTAAGTCCTCACTTCATGTCATTGACAGGTTCTATAACATTAAGTGAAATGACATATAACAAAACCAGTTTTACCATAGCTGATTGATAAAAACAACCCTTTTTTTTTAACTTGAAAGTTTTTATCTTGCTAAATTTTAACTTTGTTCTTTTAGAACAAATTCTATACAACATAAAACAAGAGTATAAACGCATGCAGAAGAGAAGACATCTAGAAACTAGTTTCCAACAAACGGACCCATGTTGTACTTCTGATGCACAGCCACATGCATTTCTCCTCAGTGGACCAGTTTCACCAGGGAATAATAAACTAAGTGAAAGGAAACGTTATTTAGTATGGGAAAAAGTAATCCTTTAGTCACATAAGCTCCTGTTTCTCCCCTTGATTAAAAAATTTTTTTTATTCAAGTAATGCATGGTCTCAAAATATGGTACAAAATAAGTGCTATGATTTGCAACCTCCATTAAAAAGACAACCATAAATCATGTGTGTCTCTGTTAGATATGTTGTATGTATCTTGCTGTAGCTGAATACTATTCCATTTTATGGATTTCCCATAATTATTTAACCATTAATAAATTAGACTAAGTATTTCTGCTATTACAGTATTTACAAAATGTCTCTGTACATAGACCTTCATGTACTTGTCCTGTTAGGATAGATTCCTAAACATGTGTTACTTTGATGCAGTGTTGTTTTTATGCCTACCTTTCATTGGAGTGAGTAGTTTGCAAATACACTTTTAAAAAAGGGCAGAAAAATGGAGAAGTAAAGCTTCTTACTGAAAAAGCCATCAAAAGTGGCTCTTACCTTTATATAGTAAAGTTCTCAGCAAAATGGTTGGGGTTTTTTTGTGTGTGTGCGAGTGACAGTAGTTGCCTGCCTTCTTTCCCTTCCCTCCCAGCAAGAATAGGAAAACCTGGCACAATTTAAAAAAAAATTTTTTTAGAGGCTATAAAACAGTGAAATAAAATGATTAGGAAGCATGAACTTGTTCAAAACTAAATTCTACAGCACTTCTGCCAATTTGGGGGGCCGGGTATAAGTGGGTGAATAATGTAGTAAGGGGGAGGTAAGTGTGGAGACTAGACTATATCAGCAGGAAATGAAGGTCATCATTCATTAGTCTGTTTATTTCATAGATCAATTAACTTAGCAGGTTCAATTAACAAAGCTGGGAATTTGAAAGTAAATAAATATAGCCTTAGTGTAGTTGTGCATTACTTCAGGTGGTATAAATAAAGCTGTAGGATCCTTTATTCTTGCAATAGACACTGCTCTAAGAAGAATTTAGTTAACTGGTCCCAGTCGTGCAGGTTATAAGGAATAAGTGACAAGAGGAATTGGGGCTATACCAGGGACAGATACACAGAGCAGGAAAAACTATTGCTAGCAAATCCATGTATATGTATGTGCATAAAATTCAGCAGTGTTACAATGGATGACTATCAATCTTGAGTTCAAAAAAGATTCGTTTCAGATGTTCTTTTCAAGAAATGAGGAATGTTGTTTTTTGGAAAATCATTGCCTTAAGTAGTACTTTAAGTCCTCACCCAAAGATCAATTCGATTTTTGTTTTTTGGAGAGAGAGAGATTGGTTGGTTGCCTCCCATATGCTCCCTGAGGATCGAACCCGACCCCCCCCCCCCCCACTTTTATTTTGGTCTACGAGACAATGCTACAACCAACTGAGCAACCCAGCCAGGACTGAAGACATCTTTTATATCAAGTATCATTATCTGATCATGCCAAGTGGCTTTTAGAGTAATAATCTTTAGCTCTGAACCATTAAATGGAATATTAGGAATATATTCTCAGTATTTTTCCAAAGTGTTCTTCTAGCTAATATCACTAATTTTAAAAAACTTAAGTTTTGTCTGTAGTATGTAGTTTTCTCTATTCATCTTCAGACTTTCTCTCTGATATTTGATTGCATGCATCTTGCTGATTTTCCAGTCACAACAAAAGATTCATGAGACCTCTTCAGTTAGAAGACACTTTCTATGATGGCTCTAAATCAGGTGCTTTTTTTTTTGTTCTTTATGTTACACATAGGGACTTCATCTGCAACATCCTCACCATTAAAAAAAGAACAGCCTTTATTCACTCTACGGCAGGTTGGGATGATCTGTGAACGTTTGTTGAAAGAACGTGAAGAGAAAGTTCGAGAAGAGTATGAAGAAATACTGAACACAAAACTTGCAGGTATGCGTTTATTTTCTTCCAGAAACTTACCATAAGAAATGCATTATTTTCCACATATACTTTATGTCAATTAAATTACCCTTTCTTTACACTGGTACAATGTGTTTTTTAAGAACCAGAGAATTTCTATTCAAGAAAGGAAATGAATCTTTCTATAACTCATGGTCCTCCTTAGTGACCTCAAGAAATGGTATTTGTTAGCCATGTAGATAAGCAGCAGTATTAGTGAATTAGATTTTCCTTTTGCCGTAAATTTGATTGGATTTTTGGACTTTATATCTTTCATAACTTTGCCATCAGCTTTGTCTAGAAACTTCAAATAATCTGTCACTGTACATCATTTTAGAGTATCAGGCTGCTGCAGTCTTAATTATACAAAAAATAACTTAAATTTGATAACGTGAATGCAGTAAATAAAATTTGTTGCTTGAGGTAACAGTCAGAATCCCCTTGCCCTGATTTTTATGCCACAGATTTTACTGGATATCAATATTATAAGATTTTTTTATTCTTAAGGAGTTAAATCAAGGTGCTATTAGTTAAGAGAATTTGCTTAGTTTATATAACATCTTTTCCTTTGGGATCTGATTAAGTTACAGGTAGGTTTTTTAAATATACACATATATTTTTAAAGCTTTTGTTGTCTTATTTCTTCTCCTTGCAGTAAACTTGCCATTTATAGACCACTTATAATAAATTTTCAGAGTAGAAAGACATCTTTTTATTTCAAGCCTTTTAATTTAATAGGTTAAGAAAAATGCCCTCTCCACCCTATATATGAGGCCATGTGCTTTGGACTAAAATGTAGGTTTCCATATGATATTATTACTGAGGTTATGTGTCTGATTAAGTGCCAACTTAGAATTGTTTCACTATACATAATGGATTTTTCAGAGTTATCTGGCTTTAATTTATTACAGAGGGCATTTTGCAAGTCATGTAACTCACATGTACCTTTATTTATAGAACAATATGATGCATTTGTGAAGTTTACGCACGATCAAATAATGCGACGGTATGGAGAACAGCCTGCTAGTTGTAAGTATTGTATTTATGAACTGAAAATGACAATCTTTTAAGGAGAAGACATTTATTATAATTATTTTCATACCCAAGAATAGAATTAAACAAAATCATGGAAATACCCTGGAGGAAATAGGCAGGAAATTTTACTAAGGCTTATTTTTTGTTATTTAAATAGCTAGGGCAATGATTTTCAGCCAGTGTGCCACAAGAATTTTTAAAACATGCGATACCTGACGATTCAGTTAGGGGCACTGACCTCTTCCCTTTCAGGGGTGGGGGAACATTGGCCTGAGGGCCGTATAAGGCCCTCGAAATCAGTACCAGCTACCATCACATGCCTCACCAAACCAAATATGGCAGGCTAATTTTTAAGTTGATAATTTTGTATAGCTTGTGAATGATGTAAATATCCAAATGGCCCTTGACAGAATAAAAGTTCCCCCACCCTTGATAGGTTGTTAAATTTAAAAAATGACAACAGCCATCTGGTGTTGATCAAAATGAACACCTTTTTTTTTTTTTTTCGGTCAGATCAGCAAAAAAGATGTTTTTGGTGTGCTGAAGAATTTTAGTTAATTCGTTTATGTATGCTGTTAGATGGAAGAGGTTGAAAATTGCTGACCTATGGCAATATTAGGAATAAAGATCTGGTATGTGTTTGAATTGAACTTGGCACTAATTTTCCTTTTCTTCCCCTTTAGATGTTTCATGAATTACGTTTTCTGCATTTGTGGGCTGCCTTGTTCCTTGTTGAATTGTTGCAAGAAGTCTCAATTATGATATGCAGCAATGCCAATACCCCCCTGTGAATACAGGTTATTTCAAGCTTTTGTCAGTGGCAACCACTCTTAGGCAGCAACTGGTTTTGGAAATTTCCCTGATGTCAGTACCACCTGGATATGGATGGACCTTTGCTACCTGTATTAATACCAGTGGTCTCATTTGCTGTATCATTACAATTTGGCTTCTTATATTAATGTTTGAAAAGGATTAAAGCTGGTATTCAAAAACATGCCCTTCACTGGTTGTGTAAATAAAACTGTAGAATGACACTTCACATGAAGTTAGTGTGATTTTAATTGTGTACTACAACCAAGCTGTAACCAGTTATTAATATAGAATGTAATCCCAGGACATTATTAAGCAAATAGCCTACAGCGCTTCCTATGAAATAGTGAAGAAGAAGGGCATTCCTGTATTCAATGACTTCTTGGGGTTTCAGAATGGGTTTATATGATTTTCTCCTTTTTTTTTTTTTTGGTAGTTTTTATTTATTCTATCAGTCTTTTTAACAAATGTTTATTGCTGCTCCCCCTCCCCCAGTGTATCATTGTTTTACTGCCCTTATAATACTGGAATTTAGTTGGAAGAATAAAACATTTACTTCTAATCTGCTTGTTTTTTAATGTACAGATGGGTAGTATTTGAATAAAGCCAGTGTTTTAAATGTAAGCATTTTTCAGGAATCAATTGATTTAATCTTGTGATGAGATTTAAAAATCAGTATTTTCATTCACCAAATCTAAGATTTGAGTGCTATTTTAAAAAACTGAGTCTGATTCCAAATTACCTGTAGCTGACTGCATGATAGAATATTACATAATTGATCAGTTTTAACAGCTATGTGTAGAAGTTTTACTTCAAAGATATTGGTAAAATCCAAGTTTGTTTTCTTTAAGGATGATGTTTGAAAGCACATTTAAGTCACTTTCCATCCATGTTTTTCAAACAGCTTTCCTATAATGGAGTAGAGATGCGTCAGTGAATTCTATTAGCATATTCCAATCACAAATGTCTTAAGAGATACACACACACAATTGACCTAATTTGTCAAAGAAAATGTTTTTTTTTCCCCTTTTCTAAAAATTTGGTGATATATTTTGCCAATTTGTTTAAAATAAGACCCAAATCACCCGGCCCGTGTGGCTTAGTGGTTGAGCGTCAACCCATGCACCAAGAGGTCACCAGTTTGATTCCCAGTCAGGGCACATGCCCAGGTTGTGGGCCAGATCACCAGTGAGGGGCATGCAGGAGGTGGCCAATTGATGTTCTCTTTCATCAACGTTTTTCTTTCTCCCTCAAATCAATGAAGAAGAAAAATTTTTAAACAGGGCCCAAATGAGGTATAGGGCTTTCACAAGATCCTCAAATCATATGCCCATTAAATGTTTGAGAAATATTGGGGTATAACACAGGGTGGCCATCAATAAGGGGGATAATTCTACCTGGTTTTAATTTGAGCCAGATCATTCTTGGTTGCAGGTTTGTCCTGTGCAGTATAGGATGTTTAGCAGTATCTCTGGCCTCTACCACTAGATGCCAGTAAGCTTCCCACCCCCTTTACTGCCAAATGCTGGGGGTAAGGGGAGGAAACAGAGGCCCTAGCTGAGAACCAATGATATGGTGGGATAGCATTTTTAGGAGAATGCAAGTAAATTAAAATGAAGGAGAGAGTAGAGTGAATATGAGAATGTTTTATCAAAATAATGAATATTTTTTTAAGTAAGCATATGGGAATTTTCAGATTTAAATTTATAAAACCATTGGTTTTATTTTTTAATTATGTTTATTGGGGTGACCAACTGGTTTTATACATGGAGGACAAGATAGATTAAAAGGGAAATATGAGTGGAGTCACAAGTACAGGCATACCTCAGGGAACATTTGGTTCCAATAAGGAAAACATCACAAAGTCACAATTTGTTTTTATTTCCCATATATAAAAGTTGTATTTATACTATGCTATAGTCTATTAAGTGTACAATATCATTATGTCTAAAAAAGAAAATGTTACATACCTTAATTTAGAAATACTTGATTGTTAAAAATGCTAACCATCATATCTGAACCTTCAGTGAGTTGTGATTTTGCTGGTGGAGGGTGTTGCCTCAGCATTGGTGAAAACGGTATTTGCTAAGTGCAATACAGCAAAGTGCAATAAAACAAGGTGTGCCTGTATTATGGTTTTAATTCTAGATTAACCTGATGAATAAAATTTCTCCCACAGCCAAATTTCTGCTTTATCACCTTACCAAAAAGTCCTAGTTTATGGGCCACTTACCTAATTTCAAGTAGTATGTGAGGTGTTTCCGGGAGAAATAAAAAAAAGGCAACTTCTTGGATTTAGTTATAATTAGGACTCAGTAGTTGATTGCTCTAGTCCAAATACCAACCATACTTGATCTCAGTAAGAAAGATTATATAAGCTACCTAGGGATTCTGAGTTCCCAAAGATCCTAGGAATTGCTTTTAATAAGTAAATACCTACATAATTTGATGTGCTAATAGTTGTCTTATTCTTTTAGTAAAAGGCAATGCTGATATGGTGCTGTACTTAGGTGACTAATGTGTTCAATAAATCTGATTAATCAGGGCACACTGCCAGGTATAATTTGTATTTTTGAGGAAAAATAAGCACAGGCAATCTGAGAAGAATGTATTGGAGGTTTAAAATGTCCAAACTATCTTTGGCCTACAGTAATAACTTATATTGCTAAAGAAAATAGTTTCCAAATGAGACATTCATTGCATGAGCATTAACTGGAGAACTAGGAAAGATCCCATGTTATACTCCCAGAGACTGCTTTAGAAGATGGGGCAGGTTCTGTAAGAATCTGTTTAATATGCCCTTTAGATTAATCCGAAACTGTTAGGATTGGAAGTGACTGTCTTTGTTTTATTTGGGTTATCTACTCCCTTCAACATTATATAGTAATTGATGTTAGTAAGTAATACTCTGCTAAAGCACCTAATAACCTGTCCCCAACTACTTAGACATGGTTCTGACAATACTCTGCTCCTGTGTTTGCGCTAGGTAAAAATTAGATCCAGCCCTGGCCAGTTTGGCTCAGCGGTTAGAGCGTCGGTCTGCGGTCCGGAGAGACCCGGGTTCGGTTCCCGCTAAGGGCACGTACCTTGGTTGCGGTTTGTCCCCGGCCCTGGTTGGGTCGTGTGGGTGGCAGCCACTCGATGTGTCCCTTTCACGTCGATGTTTCTCTCTCTCTCTCTGTTCCTCTCTCTCCCTCCCACTCTACCTGAACAAAATATCAAAAAATGTCCTCGGGTGAGGACTAAAAAAACAAACAAAACAAACAACAAAAAAAAAAATTAGATCCAAGTTCCTCTCATTTAAAGACAGTTTTAGCAGTCCTCTCTACTGCGTCCACTTCCTTTCCATCTGGATCATCCCCAAAACCATAACAAACATGCTATTAAAAATCCTTTGAGCCCTGGCCGGTTTGGCTCAGCGGTTAGAGCATCAGCCTGCGGTCCAGAGAGACCCGGGTTCGGTTCCCGCTAAGGGCATGTACCTCGGTTGCAGTTTGTCCCCGGCCCTGGTTTGGTTGTGCGGTGGCAGCCACTCGAATGAATGTGTCCTTTCACGTCGATGTTTCTCTCTCGCTCCCTGTTCCTCTCTCCCTCCCACTCTGTCTGAACAAAAAATGGAAAAATGTCCTCGGGTGAGGATAAAAATAAATTCTTTTGATCCTATAATCCCCCTGTAGCTTTATTACCCTATTTTCTGTTCTATAATAACCTTTAGAGCAAAACTCAAATTTTCTTTTTTTCCACGTCTTTATTCAGAAAACATTCAAACAGAAAATTTGAAAGAACAATCCAATAATACACTTAAAGTGAACAGTTAGTATATCAGCATGTTTTATATTTAGCTATCTCAAAGTACATGCTGCAAGCTCCTAAGAATATGGTAGTCAGTCCTATATACCAATATCCTAGATAATTTAGCTACATACTAGATACCATTATCCCACTCAAAATAATACCTCCCTGATTTAACATCTAGTCCATACTCAGATTTTCCCATTTGTCCCCAAAAATGTCTTTTGGAGCAGGAATGAGTACTATTAAATCAAATGCAAATACTTTATACTCCTGAATAAAGAAATTTATTACTGTATATACTATGTATAAGAACAATTTATTAATGATATGAAAAAGAGATAATGTGAGAGGTATTAGTTACTCTGTAAGCATGTTATTTGTTGGAGTCTAAAGGACTCCACAGGTGTTTTGATATATTCCTGTTTGGGATTAACAGTCTACTTTCTGGTTAAACATCACATGGGGATTATGCATGTCTTCCTCTAGTGCAGCAGGTTCTCAATCTGTGGGTCGCGACCCCTTTGGGGGTTGAATAAACCTTTCACAGAGGTTGCCTAAGACCATCGGAAAACACGTATTTCTGATGGTCTTAGGAACCGAGACACTGCTCCTCTATCCATCTTCAGGCGGGTCTGCCCACATGCAGATACGCCCACATACAACAGGAGGAACTGAAGGGTCACAGCATTAGGAAGGTTGAGAACCACTGCTCTAGTGGTATGTATGATTGGTCTACCTTTTCTCTTAAGCTAAATGTGATCCTTCATTCATTTGCTTTCTAGCAGCCTCCCCACGTTAGCCTTGCCACGTGGTCAGTCTTTCGTTTGGTAGGTTTTACGAATCCTAGAAGTTCTAGTTCAGAAACAGCTCTAATAAACCGAGCACTGGAGAGTATATAAGTTAAGGAAATTGGTCATGTTGTATTTTGACAAGAGGTTAAAATCTCAATGTTAAAACATTAGTTGGTAAACTGAAATATAGTTCAAATATATACTCCTAAATTAAACAGTAAACCTTTTGGGAAAACGTTAAATGTAATTGGAATCCAGTCAATAAGACAGTGGAAAAGTGCTTAACGCTGTGGTACATATACACACTAGAATACTATGTAGCTGTTAAGAAAAAAAGATCTCTTATCCTTTGAGATAACAAGGATGGACCTGGAGAATATTATGCTAAGTGAAATAAGCGAATCAGAGAAAGACAAATACCACATGATCTCACTTGTGGAATATAATGAACAAAAAAGACCCAGAGACATAGAAAGAAGCAGGGGTCAGATTGACAAACCTCAGAAGAAGAGATAAACCAAAGAATTTACATGCATGTATGGACATAGACAACAATGCTGTGGGGTGTGTGTGTGTGTGGGGGGGGGGGGATCGGGAGGAGGGTGTCTAGGGAAAAAGAAACATCTGTAACAAAAATTAATTT